AATACAGCTTTCTGGTACATTTATCGGTTTTGCTTTCCCTTGTCAGTTGTGGGTTCTTAGTAGGATTACATAATTGCAGGCTAGTAGCGAGCATTCTGTGTGCTTCGCTGTACCTGAGAAGGAAGTTAAAGCCGTTTCTGAAGCATTAAACTCACGATTTCGTCAAGCTTTAGCTGGTGGACGCCTTTCCCAGGTGCCCTAAATCTCTGTGTGTTTTCAAAATAAAGCAACTTGCTATTCCTTCAACCTTCGTTGTAGATGATTGCATGTTCAGGGCCCTATAGAAAGCAGAAGGATCTTGTTTATGCATCACCTAATTTTCTCAAACTGTGGCTTTTCTTTTCAGATTGAAATTATCCCTAATTGTAGCATCTTAGCAGCAGTTGGCCAGAAAATGGCGAGCACCCCTGGCGTTTCTGCCACTTTTTTCAATGCCTTGGCAAAGGTAAATTAAGTGTAGTGTTTGTAGATATCCTTTCATATCTATTTTCTCTGCTATAAAGCTTTGTTGATTACTTGCCCTAAATACCTGCAGGCTAATATCAACATCCGTGCTATAGCTCAAGGTTGCTCTGAGTTCAACATTACAGTAGTCGTCAAACGTGAAGATTGCATTAGGGCACTTCGAGCAGTGCACTCAAGATTTTACCTTTCGAGAACCACACTGGCTATGGGGATCATAGGACCAGGTTTAATCGGTGGAACCTTACTTGATCAGATTAGAGATCAGGTGAGTAGCTGTATGAAATCACAGTGAAATACTTATCAAGGTTCCAGCTAACTCATCTTCCATTTTTTTTGTTCACAGGCTGCAGTGCTAAAGGAAGAGTTTAAGATTGACTTGCGTGTTATAGGGATCACTGGCTCAAGTAAAATGTTGCTGAGTGAATCGTAAGTCAATGAACTTGTTAGAATGATTTGTAGGTAAATTTCTTTACTGCTTTTCCTTACGCAACTATAATCTTATAGGGGAATCGACTTATCAAGATGGAGAGAGCTTATGAAAGAAGAGGGAGAGTCGGCCAACATAGAGAAGTTCACCCAATATGTGAAGGGCAATCATTTCATTCCAAACTCTGTTATGGTTGATTGTACGGCTGAAGCTGGTATTGCAAGCTGTTACTACGACTGGTTGCTGCGAGGAATTCATGTGGTCACCCCAAACAAAAAGGCTAACTCAGGACCACTTGATCAGGTAAAGTGTTAAATATTTGCTTAAATCACTGTTCAGTAGGAAGCTACACATCTGTTCGTGTTGATGTTTCGATGATCAGAGATACTAGTTAGTAACACTCTTTCCTGTGAATGCAGTATCTAAAGATAAGAGATCTTCAAAGAAAATCGTACACACATTACTTCTATGAAGCAACCGTTGGAGCCGGTCTACCAATTATCAGCACTTTACGTGGACTTCTCGAAACAGGGGATAAAATACTGAGGATTGAGGGAATTTTCAGGTATCTCCTGTTTGGCTGACACCGCAACAAGTTGTTCAGATACCAACAAAAGAATGTGCTGGCTTGCCTGTTTGTTTTCACCTTCTCACTAAAGTCTTGCTTTGATGCCTTGCTGCAGTGGGACTTTAAGTTACCTTTTCAACAATTTTGTGGGCACGAGAAGCTTCAGTGATGTTGTAGCAGAAGCAAAACAGGCAGGTTTCACAGAGCCAGATCCACGAGATGATCTATCTGGAACAGATGTCGCCAGAAAAGTACGGTTTCTTGTCCTCAAATCATGTCAATGCACCTATGTTAGACCAATTAAATAATACGGAATTTTCTGGTATATGATACTTCTTCAGGTGACGATTCTTGCCAGAGAATCAGGATTAAAACTGGATCTTGACAGCCTTCCAGTCCAGAGTCTTGTGCCAAAGCCTCTACAAGTAAGTCTCTGTATGATCACACAATAAACAAATAAGGAAAATCCTTTCAACGTAATGGCTATATTCCATTGTTGATCTACAGGCTTGTGCATCAGCGGAAGAGTTCATGCAGAAGCTACCTCAGTTTGATGAAGAATTGTCCAAACAAAGACAAGAGGCTGAAGCAGCAGGAGAGGTAAGCAGTGCATCTCAGAAAAACGCCATTTTAAAATACCAAAATGTACCATCTCGAAAAGAACTCATTCCCGAATGTGTCGTGTCTGTTTTGTAGGTCTTGAGGTACGTAGGAGTTGTTGATGCGGTAGCGAAAAAGGGAACAGTGGAGTTGAAACGGTACAAGAAAGATCATCCGTTTGCTCAGCTCTCGGGTGCTGATAACATCATCGCTTTTACAACCAAGCGGTACAAAGAGCAGCCTCTGATTGTTCGTGGACCTGGTGCTGGTGCTCAGGTCACAGCCGGTGGAATCTTCAGTGATATTCTCCGCCTTGCTTTCTATTTAGGCGCCCCGTCTTAATCCACACTTTGTTTCTTTTAGGAACAAATCTAATGATCAAACTATGTTTCTTATAAGTTAGCATCTGTTATCTGCGTTTCAGAATTTGATTCTTATAGAAGAAATCAAACTTCATGGAATAAAACATAAAACATCCTTATCTTGGTTTTAAAAAGCACACTTTTTGCGCCATGGGCAATTATGGCTATGAGCAAAACGCCTTATGCCGCTATGTCGGGGACATCAATAAAGCGTTTGCCATGGTGCACTTTTGACTGAAGTTGGAAGCGCAATAAGCCCAACAAGGCGAGGCTTTATATAGTTTGAAAGAATATCACAAAAAGACAGTTTCATGTTTTTAATATCACAAAAAGGCAGTTTATGCTACCAAGGTAGTTTATTATAACTTTTCTCACTTTGTTTCCTAGTTATTAACTATCCAGTTAGCTCCCCCTAACTAGACATTTGGTTTAGAGGAAATTAACCTCAGCCCTTCATCTCTTTTCCATCTAACGTTCCAGATTTATTCTCTCTTGTTGATTAGACATATATATGTCTCTTTTTAAAATCATTGGATTAGATACACAGAATTTTTCAACGGTGAAGATTTTCTTGTTTGATAAAGTCTTCTTTCCAGCTCCCTTTCCAATTTTGTTACGGTTCTTCTGTAATTCTCCACCATACTTCGATTTACTGCATATAATTGTACACATGTAAATTTGGAAACATATTAATGGATGAAAGATTAGGTTAATTGGGAGTTCGTAATCGTCATGCTCGAATCCAAGCGGGTTGATGCTGGACAAAGAAGACCTATGGGGTTTTGGTTATAATCTATCAAAACTTAAAAAATCTGAGAAATTTTGTTTTTTCGTTTGGTTTTTGGATCTAATTGATTAATGACTACAATATTTTTTAAGTTCCTGAGATAAAAAAATGAAGATTGCATGAAGAAAAATTAATGGCGGCTCTGAGATTGAGTTGCAGAAACGCAGGATACCTTAATAGGAAGAAGATGACTTAATTACAAAATTGCCACTCGTTTTAAGAAAATGTGTACAATTATATGTGTACATCTTCATATATGTACATTTTATTATTAAAAAAATGTACACTCGTCATATGTGTACACTATTTATTATTAAAGCAAAAACCAAAAATTACATGTGTACAATTATATGTCTGCATGTGTACATCATCACATATGTACACTCTTTGTTATTAAAATAATGTACCATAACCATGTATACATGTGTACGTCTTCACAAGTTTATGTATTTCGTAAATATATACATTGATGTACACTTGTAATGATGGAGACTGAAGTTTTGGAAGTAGAAATGTAAATATATATTTACGAAATACATAAACTTGTGAAGACGTACACATGTATACATGGTTATGGTACATTATTTTAATAATAACGAGTGTACATATGTGATGATGTACACATGCATACATATAATTGTACACATGTCACTTTTGGTTTTTGATTTAATAATAAATAGTGTACACATATGACGAGTGTACATTGTTTTAATAATAAAGTGTACATATGTGAAGATGTACACATGTACACATATAATTGTACACACTTTTTTAAAACGAGTGGCAATTTTGTAATTAAGTCATCTTCTTCCTATTAAGGTATCATGCGTTTCTGCAACTCAATCTCAGAGCCGCCATTAATTTTTCTTCATGCAATCTTCATTTTTTTATCTCAGGAACTTAAAAAGTATTGTAGTCATTAATCAATTAGATCCAAAAACCAAACGAAAACAAAATTTCTCAGATTTTTTAAGTTTTGATAGATTATAACCAAAACCCCATAGGTCTTCTTTGTCCAGCATCAACCCGCTTGGATTCGAGCATGACGATTACGACGCAAGGGTTGCATCTTTCTGAACCTGTATCGACGAAGAGGAGAGTTCATTCCAATAGCAGGGATATGTTATAGAATAAAAGTGGAGGAAGAAGCTTGGCTGCGGTGCTTGCAGCTCCATAAAGATGATACATGGTGATGAATCACGAGAAGAATAAATTCTTCAGAGGAAAAAAAATCAGATCTGTTTTTTTTTTTTTTATTTACTAACTTAAACCAAAAGAAACTAAACAATTAGACTCTAGTTTTCATTTTGTTAGAAAAAACTACCTCTATAGCAATAACTGCCTTTTTATGATATAAAAACTCAACAACTGCCTTTTTATGAAATAAACTCTTATAGTTTCTTGGTGGGTAGTAAGTAGTCTGATTCGTATCTTGCATCTCTTCTCCTCTTTCCTCATCTGACAGCTAAATAGCCTTTAAGAACAATTGTTACATTTGTGGAGGAATGTGTCCTCTTCAGAAACTCGATACTTTTATTTCCACCTCCAGCTTTGCTGTTGTCTTCTTTGTTGCCATTATTGTTGTTGTTGGTTTGTTTTAATACCTCTCTAACTCTGTGTGACTTCTTGGCTTCCATGGCAGAAACAAAAGAACATATTGCCCTATAATTTGTGTTGTGTAATGATGGAGATATGGTGTTCAATTACAATGATCATGACAACATTTGAAACTTTTAGGTGATCTTTTAGTGTGTCATGGCGCAAGGTCTAAACAATGAATAAGAGCTTTTGGTTGGAATTAAAAATAAAAAGATGGTTTCATACAACAAAAACACTGCTTCCGTATGATTTCAACCCAACCGGAAAAAAATAAAATTTAGCATCAGAAACATTTCTCAATCTGAAACTTTGGAGAAAAACTTGTTTCTACTGCCTGAAGACTATAAACTAGGTTGAAGCACTGTTTCCAAACCAATCTGAGACCCAATTCAGTTTAATCAAAAAAAGATCATGTTGTGGAGGATCTAATAATACTCATCAGGGTTGTCTTTGCTTTGAATGAGAGGGACACCATCTTCTCTCCATATAATCCGCTCTTCACAAATGGCAGCAACCACCTCGACATACAGTTTGTGTTCCTAAACCCCAAAAAGAATCAAAAGAAATCTTCTGAATTGTAAAACTCTAATATGCTCAAAACGTATTCTCTAGTAGAAGTACCTCATGAAGAACCCTTTTAGCCAACTCCTCTGGTGTATCATTAGCAATCACACGGACTGCACTTTGAGCAAGTATCCTCCCTGTGTCATACTCCTCATCCACAAAGTGAATGGTTGGACCTGAATACCTAACGAAAGTAAAAAGGCATAAGAACAAAAAGAAAAGAAAAATATACAAGCCATAACATAGAAGAGCTAGGGACACTTACCTAGCTCCAGATGCTAGAACAGCTTTATGCACTCTCATACCATAAAGCCCTTTACCTCCAAAAGCTGGAAGTAACGCAGGATGGATATTCAGAATCCTTTTAGGAAAAGCTTTGACCAGCTCCACCGGTATAAGTTTCAAATAACCAGCCAGCAGAACAAAGTCCACACCATATTCCCTGTTCATTAAAGCGTACATATTGAATTTAATACGGTCGAATCCATGACAAAGATAAAAGAGAAATAAGTCACTGACCTAAGAACATCCACAAGCTCTGTAGGAGAGAGTGCATCTGATGATTCTCGTTGCGGCTTTGGGAATACTAAAACAGGAATCCCATTGCTTCTAGCATACTCAGCACCTCCACAATCTGTATTGAAGTAACCAAAATTTCAAAAAATCCAAACTCAAAATCAGTGTAACAGTGTGAGAGGAAGAAAGGCGATACCTTTCTTGTTAGTGACCAATAAGACAACATCTCCATTAACTGAACCACCACCAATGCATCCCTCATGAATCTTCTTGAAATTCGAACCACCTCCCGACACAAACACAGCAAGCTTCTTCCTCCTCCTTGCTTCGTCTCTCGAACCATCAACCTCTGCTACAACCGTTGGAGCAAAGGAAGCAAGCGGTCGAATCCGCATCGCGAATCGGTCTACGGAACTTCGGAAGGAGAAGGAGAGAACATTCCGGTAAGGCCTTAGCGAAGGAGCGATCGAGGTTTCCCGCGGCCGGTTCGCTGGGAAGGTGAGTTGGCTTGAGAACAAAACCCGTGATGCCATTGTGAAAGAAACTAACTAAAGTTGGGCACTTCTTTTTTTTGTCTGGGAAAAAAGTGTGTAGCTGCTTCCTTTGCTCAAACAAGGACTTGAAGCAACGATTTGCTACTGGCTTGGCATGAGAGAAAACGCGGCTTCGCTAACAAACCTTCTGATCAACCGACGCAATCTCTCTCTGTAGTAGACAAATAGATCCGATACCGTCTCCAAACCTTCCGTCACTCAAATCCTCAGTGCTTCCTCGGCGATGTTACTACCTCAAATCAACTGGGCCTTAGTCATTAGCATTAGGCCGGATTGTTCCATTGATACTAACCATTATAACACTGGGCCTTGCCCATCTCATTTATTTTTTCCTTGAGAATGTTTTTCAAGATAAATGCAGATTTACAAAAAAACACAAAAGTCTCGGAAAAGTGGTCTCATTATATTTAATTAATAATAGATAATTTTTATATTTTACTTTTAAATTATATAATATAAAAATATATTTTCAAGATAACAACATAATACATAAGAATAACTACACCCTTTTATATCTTAATATTAAATTTATAATACAAATTATAAATATATAATAAATTATATATAAAATTATAGAAATTATGATAAATTATCAAAGTTACTTAAAATCATGCAAAATATGACAAATCAGCAAACATCAAATTCACTTGTTAAATAATAGTATAGATTTTTTACATGTTAAAATTTTTATAATAGAAAATATATTTTCAAGATAATAATACATAAGAATTAACTTATTTTCTAAAATATAAATTAATTATTAATAATATAGTTTTATATCTTAATTTTAAGGTTTATACTAGAAAAATATATTTTCAACATAACAACATAATACATAAGAATTATCTATTTAAGTTTTATATATAAAAATATATTTCTAGATAATAAGATAATTATTAAAATATATTTCTAGATAACAACATAATTCACAAGAATTATCTTATTTTATAAAATATGATATATTCATAGAAATTCTTTTTATTTATAAATAAATTATATATAATATTATAAAGAAACAAATTTACCTAAATTTATGGAGAACATGACAACTAAGCAAATTTACGTCTTAAATAATAGTATAGATAACACTGAATATTATTAAGCTTACAGCTATGGATTCGTGCATTACACGGATTTCAATTGATGTTTTAATTTATGAAAAACAAAAAAATGAGAATTTTTTTTGCAATTGTTGAATTTTTGTATATATTGCGTAAAATTTGTTTTAGGAATAACATTTTTTTCCACATAAGTTTTGGTTAGTATTTATGTTTCAATAATATTTTTTTGTCAGCTATGTTTTAGTAATCATAGTGCATAAACAGTTATCAGCAATTTTAAATTTAGGCTCCAAACCCAAAAATTTAAATTGAATCTAACTTTGGAAAAATATGAATTAGTGTAAAATACAATAAATTAGAAAGTTGAATTAAGACAATCGAATCAGTGACAATATATGCACTTTCTAGGATTTCTCTACTTTAAAAAATGTAGTGAATAAAACTACATCTCTATATTTAGAGACAAAATAGTCTTACTCAATATTTCTATAAAAATAAAAACTCTATTACAAAATCATACAATTAAGCAAATCTACCTTCATAATACAATTTCACTATTTCAAAAGAAAATATACTAATGAATCAATAGGTGACTAGAAAATTAACTTATTTGTTTAACTAAGAGAAAACACCGAATCAACATTTTTATCATGTAATCTATAGATAATGAAACTATTAATACATTATGCATTTCAATAGTACTTTAATTCTTGTAGCCACAAACATGTATGTTGTGAAGACAACGTTTTTGAATCCTTATTGTCTACATAACTATTTATGAACAGAATTTACTAATTAAAGTTTTACTGCGACCACAACTATAATAAATAATAAGTTGTGGTCGCAATAAACTTTAATTAAGAAGTTATTAACTTCATTTCTAATATTGTGATTTAAACTCTAATATATGAATTTCAATATAAATATATATTGGATTTTAATTTTTCTTTATAATATTTTTATTCTAGATTCATATTTATAGTAATAACATTTTCAAGAAAAAAGAAATATGTATCTAACCTAAATTATACTTTCCTGCATAAAAACAAACTAGTAACATAATTATAAGTATATATATATATATATATATATATATATATATATAATATTTTTAATAATGGAAAATGAAAAAAATAAATTCATATTCGTTATCTATTATTTTCAAAATAATTTGCTTTTCACTTTTTAGTAACAATAAAGACATTCTTTTATTAAACTGGTTCAGTTTAAATAATTTTTGAATGCATTATTTTTTGATGCTACATATCCATTATAACAACTTAAAATAAAAATGAAGTATAAGAAAATATTTCATAAATTGAGAAAATGTAATAAAATAATGTAGGAAATATGATTTTTTACCAAATACATATATAAAGATCAGTTACAGGAAGACAATAATAATAATAATAATACTAATAATAATAATAATAATAATAAATTTATAATGCCCAAACACCTAAAAAATATTAGATATGTGTTTGATTTTTGTATGACCAAACACATATAAAACCCAAACATGAAAACATCCTAATTTTCTTATGATTATTCATAAAGAATATGACAACAGTAAAAACGATAGCAAACAATTATAATACGAAGAATTGTAATGACAAAGTTTTTTAAAGTTATATAAAGGGAATAAAAAGATAGACATCTATTGATATTAAACCCACATAATAAAATATATATTATTAAATAATTATTATTATATGGAAATATAATTTTTTACAGTTTTTTTCTTAAGAATTTTTTTTTTTGTTTTTAAAAAGGAAAATTAACTTTTAAATTATTTTAGTCAAAGTTTTTCTTTAAAATGCTGTTATTTAACACATGTCATAGTCATAAATATATAATTGTTGTGTGTCGTGATCCTGTTAATTTACAAGTTTTAAAACCAAGCTTTATATAATAAGAATTTTTTTGTTTACGTTTTTTTTAAAAGGAAAACTAACTTTAAATTCTCTTAGTTAAAGTTTTTTTAAACTATTATTTAACACATGTCATAATCTTAAATATATAAGCCATATGTCCTCGATCATGTTAATTAACAACTTGGAAAATCAAGCTTTATATAACGACACTAAAATTTTATTTATATGGAAATATTAAAAAACGTTTCTGTATAGGAATTTTAAAAAAGGAAAGTTAACTTTTTAGATTGTTTTTATATTTTTTTATGGTTTAAGTTTTTTTTTAAAAACATGTTGTTTAACACATTTTATAATCTTAAATATATAATTTTCATGTTCATAATCATCTTAATTAGTAACTTTAAAAAAATACTATTATTAAATATTATTTATATGGAAATATAATTTTTATAGTTTTTGTTTAAAATTTTCTATAAAAAGGAAACCAAAATTTTAAATTATATGTTTAATATTATTTAAAAAGTAAAAATAAATATTAAATTCTTTTGGTTTAAGTTTTTAAACGAAATTGTTATTTAATACATGTCATAATCTTAAATATATAATCGCCATGTGTCGCGATCATGTTAATTAGTAACTTTGAAAACCATACTTTATATAATAATATTGTTCCAAAATGGAAAAAGTAAACCAAACCAATAGGCATGTTATAACAGCATCTCCAATTCCACTCCATAATTTACTATAAAATAGAGTATGAAGAAACAAAAAAATGATTACTCTATAAATAGAGTAATGAGTTTTTTTTTGTTTCTTTATTACTCCATTTCCCACTCCATTTTACAGTAAATTACGGAGTGGGTCGGAGATGCTCTAAGAAAATAAAACACAGATGGTTGTCCAGAAGACTATACACAAGACAAACCTCTCACTTCATCGAAGAAAGAAAGGTAGTAGTGTAACCATTTACGAATTAGACTTCGAAATCTCAGCTTCCTCGATGCTCTGCTCCCTCAGCCAGTTAGGGATACCTCTTGCTATGTATGACTGATACCTATACTCTGTGGTGACACTGCTTGCAAATTTTTTGGGCCAGAACATTCCGTGAAGGAGATATGTGTTCTAATGACCAACTTTGCAGAAAATGGATCGTATGATAAATTCTTTGGACCAGTTCTACAGTTCCTGGACTGAGGTCTGGCTCTAGTAGACAAGCACGTGCCCGTTCACAGGAGGCTTCGAAGATGATCTTATCCAGGTGCAATGATTTCATGCAATCAACAGCCCAGTGAAACGCCCAGAGCTCTGCCAAGTACTCTAGAGTTCACAGATGAAAAGGACCGTCTGCTGTGCATAATTACTTTATCCCTGCAATCTCTGACGACCCACGAAGCATCACTCATACTAGATATTTCTGACCAAGAAGCCGCAATGTTGCATAAGTTTTTAAGATCTACTAGATCCATTTTCTGTGCGTGCTACTCGTGGATTATGCAACATAAATCATTCTCAGTTGATTTATTTGCTTATATTTTTAATATTTTTGTATAATTTAGAACCATTAACCAAAACATTTCTAAAGTAATAAATTAGATGAAGATAAATTGCTTTTTATATTGTTGTCATATCGGATATGCTAGTAGTCTTTTATGTTCTTTATGTTTTGATTGTGCTTCTAAGCATTTTAATTTGACTAATATGTTTCTTATAAACTGATTGTAACATCTATGGTGAAATCCGAAGTAAATTTTATTCATGATGTCTGAGTAATAACTTTCATGCATTATTGAAAAAACTAATTTGCAGGATTAGAGATGATAATGCAATTTACCTTTCACCTTTATTGATGTTTGGTATCAAAAATTTTGATTTTTTTTTTATCTTGAATTTTTTTGCAATTGTTTAAAATTTTCCGATTTTCCATCCTGTACACAGAGACGCAAAACCTCAAACAGGGAAATAATTTTAGATTAAAATATTTCTTTAAAATTTTCTTCTAATTGATTGATTTGTATTTACATATTTTAAAAAAAAAATCTTATAACATTTTTTTGCATTACAATTTTGAAGGTCTACTTCTTACATGACGTATACTTGTCCAACAAAATTAAATGCTTGTTGAAAATTAAATACTTAAACATGAAAAATTATAATGCATTGTCAGCGGCCAGACGTAATAACTGATTGTAAGTTTGGACATATAATATTGTACTAGATCATGAGCCACAGATGTTATTTTTGTTTAAACAAATAATATATGTATT